GACTTAACAACCCAGTACAACACGAGTTGTATTTTAGCCTTTGACTTTGCTGAACTAGACTTTATGATTTCTAAGTTACAGTCTGTGAAATCTGAGTGGCATTAAGGCAGAGATTTTCCTTTTTCCTGGAATTTCCTTGGTGGTTTAAGGCACTGCAGGGAGCTTCACCCCTCTGCTGCACAGTTCTTGAGTTTTCAGCTTATTGACAGTTATGAGAAATCAAAAGGAGATCTCGTTTGGGGTTCATCAAATGAAAATGAAATGTTTTCTTCAAAATGTTCAATGTCTTAAATGAAAACATTGGTAAAATGCAGTGTTACATTCAAAATGTTTTCTTTAGGATTTGAGCAGTGAGGATTTTGGTTTTTACATTAATATTTTAGAAAGATGTGGTATGTTAAAAGCGTCTTTGAAAAGAAAACAAACCAGTTTTTTGAATGTCAAAAAGTGCCTTATTAGATGTGGAAAAAAGAGTTGTGTTTGATAACATAGGAACTACTTTACTATTTTTCTGCCTTTTTAACTGGGTGGAGGGAGGGGGTTTTAGCAGTGTACATTCACTCAGCAGCTTTGTGCTTTCTAAGCACATACCTTTTAACATCAGCAAGGCACTTCTTCCCACTCCTTTAGTCTGCTTGTTCCCTTGGGATGCCATGGGGAGAGAAAACCACTGTGAAACCTTACATTTAATTTGTAAAGAACACTTCTAACCAATATTGATGTATGGAACAGTTTACTTACCATCTAGCAATTCAAATGTTAAACAGTGCTTTGCTCAGACAAATTGTGATCTATGAATGAACTTTTTATACGTACTTTTATTGCTCCAAAGCATTGTGCTATGTAAAAGTTGGTGGGTTTTGGGAGGCTGGGAAATAAGTGCAGACTTCCACATTATTGATGTGTGCAGAAATCAAGGGTTTATGGGGAAGCAGATATCCAAAATGATATGATATTCTGAAATGTGCAGAGCTCCCAGTGTCTTTGAGTGTATTCATCGGTGTTTGTGAAACTCTGAAAGAAAGTGTCCCTGGAAGTGCTTTGCTGGACAGTAACATCAGTACTTTGCTAATTTAAGCAAGGGAACAATTGGAAACCCATGAGTAACTAGTATGAAGTGGATTAAGTCTTTCTAATTAGGAAACCTGTAACTAGCAGATTTTTTTTTTTTAATGGTGAGAATTGAAGGCATTTTGAGTTTTCAGGTTTTTAGGACCTATACAGAAGCAAGATACGGCTTGACTACCAGACCCTTGTTCAAGCAGGTATCTCCACTGATTTTCCTGGGCTGCATCTTATGAATAAGGGAAACGTGATTATGAATGGGAATGTTTCTGGCCAAGCCACCATTTTATAGGAGCCCAGTTTTTCTATGATGTTTTTCCTCAACTGTGAAGTCTGTGTAGTGTCTAAAACATAAAGCAAGTAGCCCTGTCTAAGAATCAAGTCTGACATATCAAGAGTATTTGAAAGAGTATTTCTGTGCTCAGCCTCCCACAGTCACATACAAGTGACAACGTTAATGTTTGTGGAGTGCAAACATTTGTGCAAAAGAGGAGATAAAAAAAAAATGGGGAGACTTCCTAGATGCTTCCTAGCTACCACTGGTGCCTGTGACAGCAGCAGCAGGTCTCAAACCCAACCCCCCCGCTCTCCTCCATTTCAACAGTACTAACAACGTTACTCTCTCACAAGAAATGGCTGAAAGCAACAGCTTTGCCTGCCTGAATGAAACTACTGTTTTCATACAAGCCCTTTAAAAAGTGAGGAGTGGGAGGGAGGAGATGTGACTCTGTGGTTAATGAACTGAACGAGGAGGGAGGGAAGGGCCATTTTTGGTGCGTAAGATTATGATGTCGAATATTTGACAAGGGGCAACTTTGTCTTCTTCAGATGCAGGAAAAAAAACCTGTAAAAGGAAGTAAAGCACAGGTAAGGCTTCCCAATATATTCTTAATCCTCATATGAGGATGGAAGCAAACAGTTTTGAAGACGCGAGTGTCAGGGTTCACTGCACAGGGCATGCTAGGAGAGCCAGCACTTTCATACATGGCTCTCAAAACTTCTTAGCTTTTCTAAGGCATGTCCTTAGGTTTACTTGTTTGTTCCTCCCATGGCAGCATGGACAGCATGAGGCAACAAGGAGAAAACCTGCCCTAGTTTTGGTTAATGGTCACTCACTGTGCAGAGCTGCTTTTACATGCATCTGGGTCAGTAGATGCTGTAAGAGCAGCAGATCAATATAGAGCATCCATGGTGTCAGCAGAGTTATAGGCATGAAACCCATAATTCAAAAAAACTATTACAAAACCTGAAGCTTCAGGCAGCTTTACAGCTGCGATGACTTGAGAGAGTTTTATTTTGACAGATGCTGGAAACCATATCAACATGCAGCATGAATCCAAAACATTGTTCTTTTGGAGTTGCTTTCAAGGAGCGTGACAAGGTAAAACCAAAAGTATGACATGTCGATTCAGGCTAAAAGGCTCTGCATGAGTCTTCTGAACAACAATGTCTCCTGGACTCCTTCATTGCTTTATTTATGTCTTGAACTCTGGGAGAGGTGGTTTCCACTGCCATCCCAACACACCCAGTTATGCAGTTTTGCATACTAGATGGGGTAGGAAAAAGTATTTTTCTGAAGGAGTTTTCATTGTAATTGATTTTGTGATTAAGTAGCTCTTAAAGGAAAAATACACACCTGTTACTGTGCAAATGGAATAATTTTTTGACATGCATTCAAAAACTGTGTAGTAATTCAGGCTATTCAGGCAGTATTGTTTGCAACAACACAGTTTTGGCATCTTTGCAGCAATCTTGTACCCTGTCATGTTCAGCCAAGCTTCTGTTACAGCCAGCTCACACTGATATTTTGTGCGCACATGAATGTTTTAAAAGTAACCTGCTTACTCTGGTCTATGACACAGAATAAAGAGACTCAATGGGCAATGGCCAGCGGGAGGGAGGAGGCAGTAGGTAAGAAAGCAAGAACATTTGTGGGTTTTCTTCGCCCCCCCCCCCCCCCCTCTCTTAGGGGGGGGGGAAACAATTTTTTCTCTATTTTTCGAGTTGTGTGTTGCTCCCCCCCCCCCCCCCCCCCCCCCCCCTTCTCTAGAGGGATGGGAACATATTTTCTGAGTAAACATATAATGAAACTCTGAAACATATTAAAAAAAAAAAAAGCATGAAGGCAAAGTCTGAATGGTCAGGTGCTTATTTATAATTCTGTCTTCTGTTCAAATTAGGCCAGACAGATCTTTGCTGTTCCTACTGAAACGGCAAGCCCTCCAGCTGAGGTGTACTGGTGAAATAAGAGAGAAACATGTACTATTGAAGCCTTTCGTGTTAGCAATCTGCTCCATGAAGACAGGCCTCTCTGCCCTTTTGCATCCATCTCTATGCACCTTATTTAGAGAAATAGCATCTCTGATTTTGGACTGGGCTTAGTGGAAACTGTGGAAATAGTATTAGATGCATGGAAAGAGAAGGGAAGGGGGGCAATTCATATCATATCCATTTAATAATCAGAGGTAGAGTCCCGTTTCTTCAGTACCCTTCACAAGGACCTGTTTTATTTGGGGGATTATGTTAAGTCTATGCAGTTTTGCATAATATATATGGGATAGTTTGAAGAAAGTTTTCCATTGTAACCAATATGATGATGAAGTAGATATTAAAGGAATATACACCTATTTACCTGCTAGTGGAATAACTCTTTGGAAGAAAAAAATTCAAATATCATCTGAAGGAGATTATCAGGCTCAGGAAGTAGCTGAGCTACTGAACTACACCCTGGTACCCTGACAGGTGATAGCAGGCCCCGGGGTGAATGAATGAAAAAACCGTATGCGGGTGCGTTTGCTGTTTTGCTGATAGTGACTTCTTCACAGGTAAGCAATCCAGTGTGTTTACTTTCAGTTCAAGTTTGTTTTGTTTACATTGAGTACCATTGCTGCTAACTTCCAATGAGGTGACACAAAGCAACAGGTTACAAAAATGCCATCAACATCCATTCTGACAGCATCCATGTCACAATACACAATGATGTACCGGAATTATACAAAGACAAAAAAAAATATATATATATAGCTAATTATTCTGACTAGAACTGAAACTGACAGCGAAAAAGAAAAGAGCCCCCCGCCCTGACCCCGAAGCCCCTGCAGGAATCTGTACTGATGCTTTGGCAGCCTCATAGCAATAAAGCAATAATCAGCCCTTCACATGCCAAAACCTTGTTTTTGTAACATCGTGAATTCCTGGCTCAGAGCAATAGTTACATCTGTTAAAGCACTTTTTTTTTTTTTCTTTCTGCCCCCCCCCCCCAACCTGAATCAGCTTCATTTTACACAGGGTTAATACTTACTAAAAATAATAAACAAATGAAGGGTATAGGCACCATAGACTGCTTGGACAGTTAAATGCTATAATAATGGAGTCTAAGATATCCCAGCTTGAAACTCAGCTGCCCTTCATCTAAAACAAGAGCCTGATCAGTGACGTTACTGAAAAGGTTGGCAAAAAGAGCAATCCCTCTGCTTAGTTAGTAGTAGCACAGTCAAGAAACGAAACCACCCCATCTCTCAGTGTCGGCTGCCTGCTTCAGCTTCAGGCTTCACGGTTTGGATTTCTGCTCGTCAGTCCGTTCCTCGGGTCTTGTGCTCCCCCCAGACCCCATGTTCTCCAGATTTCTTCATGTATGTTCATGCCTCGCTATTCACTAATGAGGTATTATTAGATACTAACAATGCCTGCTTCTCCTATGGACGTTAGCACAGACCAGTGACACATGAAGAAAGCTCTTCAGTCAACCATTAAAAAAATATTGCACTTGCTTTAACCTTAAGCCCAACCTGCACAGAAGAAAAAAAAAATTAAAAAAAATCTAACCAAAAAAACCCAACACTGTGGAGCAATCTATATTATGCACATATAGTGTCTTTTCCTTCATGTTGTTTAGTTGAATTTGGTCCAGTATTTTAAAAAAATGTCCAGAAATTAAACAGTTCAAAAGACACCGCAGGCTCGTTAAGGCTTTGTCTCCCCAGTGCTTCAGAAAGTTAAAAGTTTCTTTCTTTTATCGTCCTTGTACTGCAAAGCAGCAGTCTCTCGTGGCAGAACAACTGGCCGTTCAAACCATCAAAAGAAAAAAAATCAGAAGCAAGGGAAGATGGGTGTGCTTCATGGTCTCACCTGGAACCAAACAAACAGAATGCTTTAGAAATAAAAAAGGAAATACATACAGTTCTTGGCATTTATTTCTACCATACAGACTGGGACTGCAGCCCACCGGTACAAGCAGCTGGGCTCTGGGATGCAGAGTAGACAGTAAACTACCTGAACATTAGGAAAAGTGAGGCAAATCGGGGTTCATTTTACAGGCAGGGGAATGTCGTATGCAGAGGCTAATAAAGGCGCATGTGCACCACAACAGACACACAGCGGGGACGGCTGGTGTTGGTGCCCACAGGCCAGCTCTTCACCAGCTCTTTGAGACGTCAGTTTGTGTTGAAAGTCTGTAGCTTCCTGCTTCACCCAAAAGTAAATATTAAGGTTATGGATGGGTTATTACTGCCACCTAATGAACTAAAGCTCATTAGCTTAAACAGCAGTGACTTATGTCCTCAGAGCTTGTCCCCACCAGCAAACCTCTTGGTGGGTTGGAGCCCTGTGTTTTACTCTGCAGCTGGGGACTGGGCTGGGCTGGCTGCATGCAACAGGTCAGGCACTGGGGCTCAGTGGGAAGGCAAGATGGTCGCTTTGCTTATGCTAATGGCAGTACCAGTTCCAGACCCCTCCTGTTCCACGTTAGAGCTTTTTGGTTACCATCTTGTCTTCCAGCAGGCTCTGTTGCCACAACAGCAGTGCTGGCAGAGTATCCCCAAACCTCTGCCAGCCTTGGTAACCTGGCAGTTGGTGACTTGAGAATGACTGGATATTAAAGTCCTCTCCTCCTTTCAGCTTTCTAAGGAGCGTTAGGACAAGTGGCAGGGAATGGTTAGATGGCTCACTCAGGATTTCTGGATTCTCTTGTTCTTTGAACGAGTGAGCCGATATACTCTTACAGTGCTGTGGAAAGTATAGCAGATTATTTACTGCGAGAGGCTAGAGGGATATTCCTTGCACTGTCCATGTGAACATCACCTCAGAGAGGGATGAGGCCTGGAAAGCTCCAAACTGCCAGCAAAACTCCTGGAGCAAACACCCATGATGCTGGTTGCTACCGAGCAGCCGGGATGCGAGGCTGTGGGCATGGTGCAGCGCTGGGCTTGCCTGACTTACCACTTGTGACGCTGAACTAGGACTTGCTGACGTTCTCATATATGACATCGCTGATGCAGAACTGCTGCTTCTTCTTTTGCCACATCAGTTGCACACACTGGTGAATAAAAATGTATTGTTCCTGGAAGAAAAGACCAAATGAATGGGCGTTTTTGCACCTCAGAAAGCATGACAAAAACCTAAAGAGTGAAACAGTTTGATAGTTCACAGTAACAGCCTGCACAGCTTCTCCGTCTCTCCCTCCTCAGCCCCTCACAACATACACCGAGTTGTCAGCTCCCAAAATAATAGCCTGCAATTGTTACAGATAGCAGCTGGGGATGGACAAAAGCCACCTGAGCTGCCCTGGCATCTAAATCACTTATTAATAAACTGAATGATGATGGGAGATGAGAATAGAATAGAACAGAATAGAATAGCTTAGGTCAGTTGGATCTGAGCTAAAGTGGGTCTACTTTATATTGCCTGAAAATGAATTAATTCCCAGAAAGGTACATGACTGCTTTATGTGCAACAAATTAAACCCATGCCACCTATGCACCTGAAATACTTTAATGGACTTCATGTTCCTTAGTGCTTGACTTCTTTACCAATAAAAAGCTGAAATGTGACTTTGTTCACAGAGCAGTTAATTATTTGGGGAGTTTTCAGCCTCTGTGCAAATGACACTATAAGTAAGTCGGGTCAATCACACACACAGGTGTGGACATTTGTGGACAGGTTTTTGTGCAACAAGACTGTGGTTATCTTTGGTTTTTGTTTTAGTTATGGGCTGGCTTTTGTAAGCATTATCATCATACCTATTAAACACTGTAATTCAATTTGGAATAACCTTAATTGATGACTTTTAGATTTCAAAGAGAAAGAAGGCAAACCCTGATGAATCCTTACACTAAGCTTTATGTGCACAGGGAGCAAGTGGATCTCCAGCAAAACCAACTGTCCCAAAACCTGAGTCTGGATTTCAGCCCCTACCCCTAGTGGTCTGCTGATGCCAGGAGATATCAATGTAAGTTTCAAGCATATTTCAGACCACAGAAATTTCCTCACATCCACTAATTTGGAGTGACTGGTTTCCATTCAGGGTATTCTCCAATCTAACCACCTTTTTGGGCCTGTGCCATTTGTTTTTTTAAACTGCTCAGCGAGACACTGCCAAGTTTCCAGTGTAGAGGCAACGTGAACCCAGGTGAGCTGTGTGTGGTTTCAGGTTTTTGTAAGGCAAGCCTTTTTGGTGGCCTCTGCGCCTGAGTGCCAGTGCCACCTAGTGATCCCCGCGGCCAGGCTTGGCCACTGCCTGCAGCACCAGGTGCTCAGCGACTGTCAAAGCCCAGCCCTTGACATCAGCCCCAGGCGGGCAATGACTTAGTACATGGAAAAAAACATAAAAGTCACATCGCCTCTGGAGTGGTAATGCACTTGCAGCTGAAATCAACCATCAGGATTTGTTTCTCTGGTGTTTACATAAGGATCTGCCTTGGATTAATACAGTGAACTGTGATGAAAAGCGGTAGTTTGATAGGAATGATCTCGAATGGTCTGAGAATAATGACCTTTTTTCATTTCTAGATGCTAGTTGTTGTCCTGCAGGTTGTCCTCCTCTTCTCGCCCTGCTAAATCTTCTTTGCTTTGCTGTGGTTTCAACAATCCTTGGCAACAAATTACCTGCCAGACCTAGCCTGCAAACAGTGACGGTGGCACTTCCAACTGTATGGAGGCTGCCAGCTTATACTGTGTCTAACCAGTGAAGAGTACAACAGGCGTGAAATCTTGCCCTCATTAGCAGAGGAACTGGGAAGGTTTCAGATGCATAAAAGCTTCTGCTTCGGAAAGAGTTTGTGATTTTTTTTTTCCATTATATATTCTAATAATATGACTATTCTCCTGACATTTGCCTTAAAAACAGAAAAAGAACTACCTAGTAGATATTTGGGCAGGGAGAGGGACAAGGAGGGGGCCTGGCAGACTCACAATCCTTTTGTCTGTTTTGCTCGTTATATTTGTGTAACTAAGTTCCTACATTTGGCCAGATGATACCCTCTTGAACAAGCGTGAATGGCTGTCCAATACTGATATCATTTCATGAGCCATTAATCCCCTCAGCAAGCCCAATTCTTTTCAAAATGGTTTGAAAATTTCATATGGTAATCTCTTCTAATGCATTTTTTGCATATTAATTTCACAGAAGGTGAGAATAAGTCATCCTCTCTGGAAGACATCACTGAGATTGTAGATCTATTATCAGACCCACCTATGCAGCAGATTAATAACGTGACAATATTACAATGAAGATGAAAAACTTAATTGTAACTATTCATAGCTATTTTGTCAAGTGTTCAGAGGGAACAACAGTCGTTGGACAGGAACATGCTACAGAGAGGTATGAAATAGAGCCGATGATACATTCTTAATGTTGAAGTGAACTGATCTTACCTCTGTCTGCACCATGGACATTCTGTAGGACCGCATGTCAGACACCAGGCCCAATATATCTACGAACTCATGATCACGAATGTGCTGTAAGAGCCGATCCAGGGCTATGAAGGTTCCTGTTCGTCCCACTCCAGCACTGCAACACACAGAGACATGCATCTCATTTCAGGCTTTTCTGATGGGGACGCAGAGGAAAATCAGTGGTACTGCAAAAAGCAGGTGTCCTGCAGCTGCGATAATCAGATGTAGCTAATCTGACGTCAGACAGGCTGGTTAATCTGTAGGATTTAATGCCGAGCAACCCTTCATCCATTGTTTAGGCATAATGTATGGAGTGGATGGAGCTGCAATTATTTCACCTTCCTATACTCCTCTTCATGCACTCACATGCAGAATGTGCATGCACACCCTCATCTGCCCTTAGCTGTCTGCTCTTCTTACTTTCACTGCTCCCCTCAAAGATTTCATGAGACGTCTCTAACTACAGGGGCTGTAGCCGTAACTGCAGAGACTTGCTCGGCAGTGATTGCTGCACAGAGGCAGCTGGGGTTGAACCTGCACAGTTCAGTTCCACAGCTCTCCACACTGCAAAGCTCTCAGCTTTGCAAAGGCACTGCACTACTGCAGTTCATCCTCAACGGACAAGCTACCCAGAAGAGTCTACGCTCCAGGACTTCTGCCTTGGGACCATGAGACAGAAATAGTCAGCAAGCACTCAGCTGACAAATCTTCACCCCCCCCCAAAGGGAAGCTTAGTGACTAGAAAAAAGACATACTGTTTTCATTTAGAGATTCTTAGGGGCATTTGACTCTTTGCATTGTGATTTCACATGTAACATTTAAGTCTGATTTCATTATGAGTGTGACTTTAGAGGTTTTATAGAGTTTCATATAGCATCCCAACACCATACCTACTACTAAGGATAGAAGTGTGTGTCTTTTAGCAAAAGTTCTTTCTGCTGTCTTGTCATATTTTTCAGAAAAGCCTTGCAAGTATTTGCAATAAAGTTTAACAGTTCATCTCAACACAGTTCAACATAACTGTCATGAACCAGGTTTTTTTTTTTTTTTTTGCTTGTGTTTAACAAATTGTTAATATCTCGAATGAGATGAATACAATGGAACTCCTGATCTATTTATTTGACAGATTCATTAATTGATAAATTCATTGTGTGCCTTCTTTAACATTTGAGAACAATTGCTGTAGGAGTTGATCAATACATTCTTTTTCCCCCCCTTCCACTGATTTTATAGCATTGCTACTTTTAACCTATGTGGTCTAATATGTACAGTATACTCTCAAAATATCTCTCTCTGCTGCTAGAAGCATCCTAATTAAAAAGAAAATACTACAGTTGTTAGCCCGCTTTCTGGTACTTGCCTCTATTCCTTCCCAGAACAATTAAGTGGTATATAAGGGTGATTTCACTACACTACATATAAATCTCTTCCCTGGCTTACTAGCACCTTTCTTGATATTAAGACTCCCAGAACAATATCCCCTATGAATTTCTCCATTAAGTTACAGGGGAGGGCTGCACGATTTGCTGCTTTTACAAATACTGCTGCTGTTTTGCATTCCAGTAGAACACTAAGTGCCTTATCTGGAAACTAGCAATGATATTGCTATAAAAGACTGTTTTCTGGGAAGGAGCTCTGGAGAGTGCGCAAAGCGATGGCAAGAGAGAGTCAGTGCCGACCATCACATCAGCACCAGGAAAGACAGCGCTGGAGGGTGCGGACACATTGTGCAGCAGCGTAACTGCTGCCTCTGGGGTGGGGGACGTAGCATTGGCTGAGATTAATCTCATCGAGCCTTGACTTCCATTAGGAGTGTGTCACCATAATGCACACATATTCATCCATTGCAACCCATCTATTTATGTATTTCTGAGAAATCTGTTGTGAGTAGCTCTCGCACTAGGAGCCACAAAGAGGTCTGAAGTCAGTTGTGAGAGCTGCATCGGGAACCAATCTGGTATGATATCATCACTAACATGGCAGCTGCGCCCAGAGAGGCCAAGTAAGTGAACATCTTAATAAAAGGCCAGCTGATGCACGAGAGATAAATCTGATAGTATATAAAACAACATTCCTCCCCCAAAAAGAAAAAAAAGTATAACTGCTATCATAGGATACCGGTATTACTGCTAGCACAGGATAGTGCTCTTCATGTCACCTCCTGAATGCACTGAAAGCCAAGTGACCAGAGGAGGAGGATCTGTGCAGAGACACACTTCTGCAGTGGAGCAGCACACCGCAGCAGGCTGCTGGCCAGACCACACCATCTGTACCATGAAGGTGTGGAAATGGGAGAGCAGGGGCAGGCTCTGAGCTGGTGTAAATCAGGATCGCCTGCTGCACCTCCTGGAGCCATTTGTTTATAATATCCAAAGAGCTGACTACTCCAGAAAGCAGTGCCTTCATGTTTATGGCTGCAGGCTGAAATCCCAGCCCCACTGTAGTCAAAGAGGGGGACTAATCCTTTACCCTTAACACCAAAGAGAACAATTTCCAGCTAACAGGTGAGCAGCACCCCAAAATCTCTCCTTCCAATGGTTTCCCAACCTAGTCAACAAGTTACAACCTTTAGCTCTCCATTTCCTTGAAGCGTTTACCTGCAGTGTATGATCATGGGGCCTTTACTCTTTGCTGATTTCTGCCTGACCATCTGTACAAACTGGAGGATGCTTTCGGCAGCATTGGTCGTGGGGACACCATGATCTGGCCAGGCAGTGTAGTTAAAATGCATCACGTCTTGCACCTCATCAGCCTAATGGGAAAAGCAAAACAGCAACATGTTCACAGGAGTTTTAACAGTGCAGTCACGCTCAGTCAGACTGAGGGGTTTTTGTCATTTTGTGGTTGGGTTGGTTGGTTTTTTTTCCCAAATACAGCCTAAGAAAGTGAAGTTAGCCAAAAAAATGGCAAAGAGTTTACATGCTATTTGATTAAAAAGGGGAGGAGGTATCAGGCCATCATTATCAAAAAGGCATGAACTTTTGTTTCTGGGATTGAGATTTGTTTTTTATTTTTTTTCCTCGTGGTGGTTTGATTTGATTTTGCTTTTAAATCAAGACTGTTGCATTTTTCAAGTTTAGGCTTTCTTCTTTCTATTCCATTCCCTCTCCTTTTCTCATTTTGCCACAGATAAAGGACAACAATCAAGACTGGACTCTTGAGAGTTTTTCTTTTCAAGTTTCAAAGCAAAAAAAAATACCAAAAGGGAAGAAAAAATCATTACAGGGGCAAAAGAAATATTTAGAAAAATATCCATTATTATAAAAAAGGTTTATAATGCTAAAAACTCTAGTGGCTTCCGGTGAAATAAGATCCTCAACACAATTCATTTTGTCTTTGTGACTTAAAGGAACTCAAGACATGGGGAGGGGTGGCGGGGGTGTCATCACCAAAACCTATGGCAAGCAATGCTTTTAGTTTTGCCATTCTGGGTCAGGCTAAATAACCCTACTGCAATAACCTCTCTCCAGTCACAGGCAATAGCAGACCCTTAGGCAAAGGATATTGAAAAATGAGATCAGCACAAAAGACCCTGAAGTAGCTGCTCTGGGTTTGGTAAAGGACAGTTTACCTGAACTGCAAACTGCAGTCTCATCATTATTTTCAATGGATGCCAACAGCCTAAAACATCGTGTTTTATGCATTTGCCTTCCTAGCCTGCACCCTGTGAGCACTTTGTAACGCAGTGAGGCATGGCTGAGTAGGACTAAGGTCCCGGGCCAGTGCTGACATGCCAGCTTTTTTCATGTCCCCTCCATTTCTCTAACCTTTCCTTCACAAGCTGGTGCCTTCAAGGAACTGGTGCAGAAAACAAAGCTGGAAAGAAATGCTTGAAAATCTGAAGAGCTTTAATTTGGACATCTCATGCTCTCACATGTATTTCAATACTTTATAGGAATATATGAATATTGCAGAATTGCCCTTTTGAAAAATATTTTCAATTTCTACATTGATATTTTCAAGTTTTGAATAGCTTCTAGCAAGAAAATATGCCTGAGAGAAAGAAAAGAAGTTTACGTATTTGTTGTCACTATTTTTTGGCACCACAGAAACGTCCAGAACTCTGGTATTACTTTGTTTCAGTCTTGCATTTTGCTGAGAATTCACAGAGATGACAATTTTAAAGGAAAGTTTTGTGATTTAGCCATTTGCCTGTGTGGAGTGAGGTTAAGGCCATCAGTCTTTCTTTTAGGCATTTTCCACTGAATGCCAGAAATGGACAAAATTTAAAGAAAAGGCTGCACAGAAATTACTCCCGCTCTTTTAGTAGGGCCACGCAAAATGTTTTACTTACATAGCTAATTCGGAAATTCCTATAAACCCAGTCTGTGTGTTCCTCCTCGGACAGCATCTCTACTGTGATGTCCCCATATGCAACAGGATCTTCTGTAAAAGGCCAGTAATGATCACATTTCACCTGAAAGGGAAATAAATACATACATATTTGTATTTATATAAATATATAAATATGCATATATAAAAAAGCACAATCAAAAGTATATTGAACCTGTTTTAGAAATGTCTACGATCCTATTTACTTGATGCTACAATAAGAGGTAATATATCCTGCAATGACTTTCAGCCTGATCATTCCTATTTGTGTACTGTGGATATAAGCTGTACATTGGTTTTCTGAAAGGTAGCATTAGTACAGTGAAAAATGGAAATACATAGTGTCTTTGTAGATTGTTACTTTTCCTAATAGGATAGGTCTAAAAGGAACAAAACATGGGGAACAAAAATACACATATTAAAAAATTATATTCCAAATATTCCTATTATAATGTCAAGGAAAATGTAAAGCATAATCCTTCTACTTTTTTTATTATTTAAACTTAAAAGCACAGAATCACAGAATGGTTGAGGTTGGAAAGGACCTCTGGAGGTCATCTTGTTCACCCCGCCCTGCTCAAGCAGAGCCACCTAGAGCAGGCTCCTCAGGACCATGCCCAGACAGCTTTTGAATATCTCCAGGGATGGAGACTCCACAACCTCTGGGCAACCTGTGCCAGTGCTCAGTCACCCTCACAGTAAAAAAGTGTTTCCTGGTTTCAGATGGAATTTAATGTGTCTTGATTTGTGCCCATTGCCTCTTGTCCTGTCACTGGGTACCACTGAGGGCTCCCTTGTCTCTATTCCCTCCCATCAGGTATTTATACACAGTGACAAGATCCCCTGAGCCTTCTCTTTTCCAGGCTGAAGAGTCCCAGCAATCTCAGCCTCTCCTGACATGAAAGATGCTCCAGTCCCTTAATCACCCTGAAATGCCTGCCAGAAGTGAATGAAGTGCCATTCCAGGTCTGGTTATGACGCTGCCTCATGATCAGAAAACAATGCAAAGAAATTCACCAGAAAATAAATACGTTTTCAGAGTAGTTTCTTTTATACTATGTGCAAGATTTTGTTACATACCCTTCTTTTCTCATTACACTGAGTGAGCATAACAATAATTTGAGATTTTTGCTGGAGAACCATCTTCCAAAAATCATTCCTAGTTTCTGGCAGTGGCCCTTGGGTTGCAATATATTCCTGGGGTGAATTATAACCCTAAGAAACAAAGAGACAGGTGCTGTTTACCAACATGATTACTGCTTCAGAACACATATTTTTCTCTGGCGTATGTATTTTTTAGCTTGCTCAAGTTCAATTTGTACTTTTAAAAGTGATTTCTAGTATAAACTACTTCATGATTTTTTTGTATTTATTTTGAGATTACAACTTTTTCCAGTTTTTGATGCTCCCAAAGTGTAAGCAATCTGGAATGAAGGACAGAAGATGAAGCTGTTACTATACAAATCCTTTGCCCAGAGAGCCGGAAAGGCAACATTAAGAAAACAAGTAATGAGAATCCTAAATCAAAGTTCCAGCTTCTTACAGATTTTATTGTTTAAGGGTTTGTTGTTTAGTTACAGACATAAAACCAATTACAGACGCTCATCCCAAGCAGTGCCTGTGGTGATTTTCAGTCACTGATGCAAATAAAAGGTGGCAATGAACAGGATTTTATGCACATGTTTATGTCATAAGGACTTAAATTAGTAAAATATTAATTAGGATTATGCTTAAAACAATAGAGAACATGCTGAGTCAACGCCCTTAACAGATTATCATTGCTATGTTTTATTGAAGCTCAGATGCTTTATATCCATGTATTCCTTCTCCTATCCCTATCAACATGCTTTGAGTTGGAAAGACTCCTTCCCTTCTCCAAAACCAAAAGACCATTATAAACACTATAATAAAAGATCCACAGAATGGCCGTTTTGGCATCTACTATAACCATATTTGCTGAGATTGCACCATCAAAACCGCATTTGGAAAGTTATTTGATATTCCTAGTAAGAGCAAAAGATACATCCAACACACACCATGATCCCATGTAAACTGGGCAATTTCTGTGCTATCACAGTATGTGGATTGTAAAAATATTAATGATTTGGGAGCACCTTCCATAAATGGCTTCCTCCACACATCTCTAGAAGTCAGCTCAATCAAGTGTTTTCACTACACAGAATTTGCTGTTTGTTTGTCTGCACAGGCTATGTCTGACCTAAGTGTCAAATCTGTATTACCACAGAGACAGAGATTACCACTAGTATCTGTGTTTTGAGGCAGGTACTCAGTGGAAAAGCAATCGTCAGGAAAAGCCAAGCATTAAGATGACATGTCTGTCCCAGTTTCTACGGCCAGCACTATGCTATAAGTAGAACTAAAGAGATGTAAACTATAAAAAGCAGAACTGAGCAATCTGAAAAGGGCCGCTATGTAAAATCCCATTATCCATAATCCCATGTCAAAGGAGTCTCCTGAGTTGTGCGTGATGCTTTTTAACACTGGAACATTTCTCTTTCTTGATTCACTGCCAGCTCAGGCACTTGACATATAGAAACTAAGTACAGGCAGCATGCTCAGCAGTACATGCACGGGCAATGCCATAGTGGCAAAGAAGTGGTTTCATCGACTCATCTGAGGGCTCCTCCCTTTTCCATAATGCTTACCCAGCTCTCTTCCAGCTCTGTCTTCTGTTCACAGCAAGGGTGCAGAAACGCTTAGCTGTCTATGGTCCCCAAGTGAAAGGTCTTTTTCTAAATGGATGCTGTAGTGTCCTGCCTCCTCTCCATGCAGAGCGACCCAGTGGATGTTGCTCTCCCTAACACAGTTTACACTGAGCCACAGCAAGGGGGGGATAACAGAGGGGCAAACCTTTGTGGCAGTGGCAGGGATAAGCCTAAGTGACTGCACAAGCTCAGGCGAGAGTGGAAAGAGCTGATGAAGTTTTAGCCCACCCCCAGTGTCAAACTGTTTGACTACAGCTCTGCTTATACTTTACTTATCCTAAAACCCTGGGTGCTAGTCCCTGGTAAATGGCTGCTCTATGCCAGGCAGAGGGAGGCACACTGGGAGCACCAGGGATGAGGCAGAAAGCAGAAGCTCCCTCCACGCACCATCTGGGCTGTGTGCATTTTGTCAGTTGTGGAGTGTCTGGCTTAATCCTTTTTCTATGTGCTGTAGAAACCTGGAAAAATATCTTTAAAGTTTCTTATGTTTTTCCTTGCTGACTTAAAAAGCCACTGGACCACTTAACATTTCCTCCCCATTTCTCTACCAGTTCCATCTAGGTTTCACAAAGATTCACACACAGCTCACCCAGTGACCCTTCTTTTTTTTTTTCAGATGGCTGGTAAAAACTACAGTTCCCTGCAGGCAAAATACTGGAAGCTGAAGGAGGTGCTGAGAACGTGAATGAGCTTCCAGGAGATATTGTGCTATGTGCAGGTGACATGCTCTAACTGCTGTGCAGGGGCCTGTTCTTTACACCGACCAAGTCTCTTTACTCACTGGAATGTAGTTGGCATTAATGTAGTCAGATCCCTCTTCTTCATTCATTGAAACTAACCGGACACGACTAAAATCATCTGTAAAAGGAAAAAAAAAATATTTTGGCTCTCAAACAGGGCATCTCCAGCTAGGCAAAATTAAAATTAATCCTATAAAAACTGAAGAAAAATCTATTTAAAAAATAGAGAATGCTCACATTTACTGACAGAGAGCAATGCTGGCTTCAGTAAACACTACATGCATGCACCATCATTACCGTTCTGCAAAATACACCTTCCAAATGCCATCCCTTTGGGCTCCCTTAAGTTTCATTAGAATTGTAAAAAAAACACAGTGACACTACTCAGTGGTAGAAATGACCTTGTGTTTCTCACCTCCAAACTCCCGTCTTGATAAACATCCCCAGAAAGCCATGTCTCTTCAAAGCTAACAAAAAACATCTATTGCCTGGCTCTCTCTAAGGGCAGGTTTTAGAACAGGCTTTTATCAGTCAGAAAATCTGTCCTGATTCTCCAGTTCTCTTATTAAAACTCTTCCTTCCCTCTCAGGGGACTTTACCAAGAGGCTGTATGTATATATTGTACTTACATGGCAGGATATTTGTGTAGCGATTTTTACAGCGATTCATGGGAAGATCAGCAGCAAAGTGGGGTATGTCAAGCCCAATCAGTTTTAGCTCCTGGGGTAACAGAAAGAAAAACGCCAAACTCACAAATGCTCAAAAAATAATTCTTTGTAAAGTGATTACTTGTGGCAGGTAGCAGACTGAAAATGTTCACAAATCACTTTATAAACTGACAGAAGGATTACACTGACTTTCCCTATCTGATGCTTCTGAGTTTGGCTCCAAGCAGCTAGAGAGCAATGATGTGGGCTTCCCTGCTGATCCTGCCAATGCACTGCTGCCATCCAAGGCTGTGACGGCGGACTGCTCCTCTCCACCTGCACTTAATTAGCCAAAATAGTGCCAAACCAGGGGTTGATAAGTTATTCTGTGGTGGTCATCCACCCCACTTAAAGGGCTTTCTTCAAGTCCTCAAGTGGCTTCTGATCTTGATACCGGGGAATGCTTGGAAGATCCTTCTAGTCATTACCTTCAGTAGTTACATCTAATATATGATGCACCAGAGGACTTTTCACTGGCAGAAAGGGAACATGTCAGCCACCCAGAACGGTGGTAATACCCCAGCAGTCTTCCCCACTCCCCTTCCATATTTAAATCTTTCTAGCTCTGGGATATGAGCTTTTTAGTTTTATACTACTAAACTGACTTTAAATTCTGGATAATTAAGAGAATGTACCTGAACTGGTCCTAGAGAAACACCCTTGCTCTTAAAGAGATTTCTGATATTACTTTCTCTTTCCAGTGCTGCCCTTCAAATTAAGGGCATTAAATAAATAAAATAAAGGCATTAAAATCCTGAATCCAACTCAGGCTGCCAGCATGTCCTAAACTTAAAGCAAGTGTGCTGGTCTGACAATTATCTTGGATTGAATGTGATGAGCCACTCAAATCAGCTTACTAAATGCAGTCTAACAACACTAAGGCCCGCTTTTAAATTCTGCAGAACTTGAAGTGAAGCTGACCCACCCAGCAACAGCGCACATAAAACAACACAGAGCACAGGAACACACCATGCAATCCCGACATCTGACAAAAGCTGATCTAGGCATGGCAGCTAGGAGAGGACAGAGTCCCCGCAGATTTACCTCAAATTGCAGAGAAAATTTGTAATCTGAATCTTTGGCCATATCCTTGATGTAGCCATCAAAATCATCCAACTGGACAGGGCTTTAGAAGAAAAACACACAGAAATTAAGAAAAAAATTAAACTTTTTTACTACATTTTATTTCTATTTTCCCCTAGAATACTATCAAGTCATGAATATGTATTTGCAACTGTTAATGCTAAAAAGCAACAATAAAGAGAAAAAAAAAAATCTTGTGGTTCAGTGCCACCAAATGGTGGGCATGTTGCTCATTACCTACATCCTACCATAACAGCACCAGAAAGAGAGGCTGAGAGAGAGGTGCTGATCCCTCTGGGTGAGCTGAATGCTGCAGCTGCTGGTGCTGATGACAGTAAGCACCCTGGTTTGGGGGAGGGTGGAGTTGTCCTACCTGAGGGAAACCACTGGTCTGAGGCGAGGGGAATGGCCCATGAACCTTTCTACGATTCCTTGGCCCCTGAACCACTTTTGCAGGTGGGTATGTCCCAAACGCACAGATGGCAGTGCAATAGGTGGTGATCCAGCACCCCATTGCAGACCCACTCCCAGTACCACCCCACCGGCGTGCTTCTGGCACCAGGGCAGCTGCTGCTTCATTTAAGCTGCCTCATGTGCCATGTAAAATGTTGCTTTCAGATATTTTCACATCTGGCAGATACACTTTTAAAATTCATCTGAGCTTTGCTCATGCAGAAAAATGGATTTCATATTTAGGTTTGGATTTTTTTTAGAAAGTCCACAAAAAAAATCCCTTAAAATAGAATTTTGGATGCCACTGCCGTGACTGCTTCCTCTGCTGGCGTTAAGAACTATACACATTTGTCATTAGAGGTCAAATTCTCCTCCCAGAAAGATGGTGGCTAAAAAAAAGTGGATATAACTATACAAAAACCATGCAAAGCTTCAGCAGGTATAAATTAGCCTTGATTTAGTGACACCCATCATTCTACACACTTTTTTGCCAGGTGAGGGTCTATTTGTTAGTACAGTCACAGCCTCTGAACATAACGGAGAAATAATTAAGCTAACGCTCTGAATAATGAAACACAGGTAAACAGCTTCCCTCACCTAATTATCATGCTCTAATTTACAAGCTACTGAAGCATGTACACAGTAATCTTTTCATTTACTTTGAGGCAATATGCCCAAAGGAACCTGTCTTATCACCACTTAATTACTCCTGTTTACTCGTTAGCATTAATGATCTAATGTTCTAGCAACAACCATAATGAGAGCCTCATGTCAAGAGGGAAATATCACTAGAAACAAACGCATCCCAGTTTTTCACCATTTGTCATTTTTAACTAAGGATAAGCTCCGTTGGAATCACTAAGTTGAATAACTGATCTTTTCCCTGATGACTAATTTTCTATCAGTAAGGACCTGTTTTACCACAACCTATCTGTTGAGAAGAATTGCTTTTGTCCAATTATGGTTTGTTTTCTGCCTTCAGACATCTCTCTCAGGATATATCTACCAAGAAGCTTTCTATATCTGTAACTACAATATCACTATACCATGCACTCCATAACGCACGTTTAGTCTAAGGTAATATTTTTTTTTTTTATTTCTTTAGATATCAGAAAAGTTACATACTTGGTCAGCTTTCTCTTCTTTAATCCATTTTTACTCCTGTAAAAAACAAGAAGTGTTTTTCATTCATTAAACTATTGTATAGTCTTTATTCAAAGTTAGTACTGATTTCAGATCGTATGTTTTCTGGTCACCATCGTACTCAGGATGAGATTGGTGATAATATCTTGGACATTTTTAAGCTGATGATAGCAAAATTTCCATTGACACCAATGGGACACGTTTTCCATTCTGTGCCTCTGAGAATGACCTGTTTGTGAAAAGGAAAACCTTTGCCCAGCACAAGCAATGGGTCCTCTACAAATCCTGACCCAACAGTGCCGTTGGCTTCAGGTGGGCTGGGGCTGAGCCCTCAGGGCCCAAGCCTGGCCCAGCCTGGCAGGGGGCTGTGCTGTTGCAGGGGACAGGGCACTGCAGTGCCCTGCTCTGCTCCGGCTCTAGTGGGTTGGGAAACTGGATGCCAACACTAGACACCAACTGGGAATGAGAAGCATCTGTTGGGTAAAGGGAGAAGACCACCATTTGCAAATTCAAGGAAGGGTGAAGGAAAAAGGAAAGGGCCTTAACACTATTTCTCACCCATTTCATAACCTGGTTATGATGATCAATGAAGACAATGGCAAATATCCTACTGACTTCAGCGGGACTCAAGCTTAAACCTTAGATAATTTTAATTGACTTTTAACAGCTAGAGATAATTATGCCAGTCATGTAATACACTGTCTTCACATGATTTATAAGTGATATAATTCACTAGTGACAGTTGCGAGCAAGCTTATGAGTGTGTTAAGCAGTATAACCCATAAGATATGGACTTAAGAACTGCAGTACGCTAACTACCACCATGTGGGTTTGGGGTGCCAGGGTGTGTGTGTACCTTTTGTTGTTGCCACAAAAAAGTTAAGCAATCAATCAGATTAAATGCACAAAGTGAGCACCCTGGAATAATTTGGCTAGAGGTCTGAAAACACTGATCCCCTCTGTTAAACCAGCCACAGAGCACAAACAGATTCTTGCTTACTCAGATTTTAGTAGTGTCATTTTTTTTTCCTGGGCATTAAACAATATCTGTTCATTCATCACATTATAATGATGCTATTTTTAATTTCATGATGATATGAAAATGATTTCTCGATAAGTTGGGTCACAGCTGCAATTAGTAAACTGAAGGTGAAGACTTTTAATTTCAAAACAATGAAAATATACAGCAAGAAATATTAAAAAGTGGAGTATTTTTATTTTTCTACCCTGCTATGTTTAGAAGTGAAATTAAAAAAATATTATTCGTTTTCAAAATCAATTTTTACAAAATGTTAAGATTTTGGAGCAGCCACAACCTGTAGTAATTTTGTTATCTTGTCAAGGTACATTTCCATTTAGATATAGAGCCTTGCCTGCAGAGTTAACAAGAGCTATAGTAATACCAGCTTTACACTAATGTGGAGATTTACTTTGCAAAGCTTTACTTTACAAATATTATAAACTTCTTCAGCCTACTATGTTATTTATACAGATACTATCTGTATAATGTCTGTACATTCATGTGTTCTATACACATAGTTTAGTAGTATTTATTCTATATCTTCAAAGATTTTTTCCAACAAAATCTTAAAATTAATTTCTCTAAATTATTCAACACATTTCTGTCCCCTGTGAATGTGGTAAACCTTCTAATGTTGGGCACATTGGAATTCATTTCAAAAGAAAAAAATATCTAAATGCTGTTTATGATGGGAATGCTTCTAAGAACGCTTCTCCAAGGAACACTTCAAGAGGCAATAAAACAAATGATTGACATCCATTTCTCAGCAACAATTTCTTGTGCTGTGATGGCCTCAAGAGGCCTTTGTTTCTTAGCATTGCAATTGTTTCCTGAATGTTCATAAATGTTTGAAACCAACTTGTGTGCAAAACAAAGACATTTGAAACATTAGCTGGTGTTTCATCTGTTCTTGCGTTTACCCTACAGATTAAAATACAAAGAGAGGGATTAATCTCATCTTATTCAACTTCAGCTCCTTTAAACTTGGTCATCTAGACTAAACTAGGTAGCTTTATTGAAGAGAAAACCTCTGAAGAAAGATACACATCTGGAAAGGTGAGTTAATGCATATTAAATGCATATTAAACAAAAAGAGGCAAAGGTGCAAAAGAAGATGACGACTCTTTTTGTAGCAGTGCCATTGACAGTGGCCACCTTGGGCTTCTTGACCATTAGAGAGTTAAGAGAGATCAGTGTGACCTCCACAATAATGAACTGCTTTGCCTGATCCTCCATCACTGTGCAGCTCCAATAGTTAGCTGAGTTTACGTCAGACAAGTTACAAGTCAATATAATATTAGCCTTGGAGAGACATGGAAGACTTCCATCTGCCCTTCAGCTGTGTGTGTGTGGAGAACATGCTTTTATTTGCATGGGAGAAGAATTGGGCCTTTCTTTAGTTACATAAACCCACTCATTTCTGGGCCCACTGAAAATTTAGATGGGTTTTTCTACAGACCCACTGTGACCCGAGGAAAACCAGTCTCAGAAATCCCTATGCTGCAGATGTCGATGACTGCCTGCCAGCACTTTGCTGCTGTATGGTAACACGAGGGAAAATGTTTGGTCAAAAGTAAATCTTAACTTTGGTACCACATTTTTGTAAATCACTATACTTTGGACTCAAGACCATCGGGAACTTAAGTTTATTTTATAAAAATTAAGCATTTTTAGATCATAGTCAATTATAATTATTTGTTAAGCGGTTTGTAAAACAGTTCTGGTTCTAAATAGATCCTGTGGTTTTGTTGGTTAGGTATTTAAAAAAAAAAATAATCAGTCGTTTACTAAGTCTTTATAAATGATTTACAGACTAAACTACTAAATGTACACACATAAACACAGAGACACACACACAGTGACCCAATTTTTACACTTTGGAACTGCTAGTTTTATCGATTCTCAGTGAACTGTTGTTTCCAAAGGCAAAACTTTTACTGATGTCAGGAGAGCATAACTGTACCTTTAAAAACTAAGGTATTTGACATCACACACCAAACAGGTGGGGCACAATCAAGCAATTTTACTAATAGAAAAGCAGCAGCAGCAGAAGGCAATGCCAGGCAATGAACAGATGAATAACTGGGACAGAAGAAGCCAGGACTTACAATGAAGTGGCAAAAATTGCAAAGAGAGCAATGAGATGAATATGATGACCACTGTAAGATTAGCTTTTTAATACCAAAATGGGTTGGAGCATAAACAGACAAACTAGATGAAGCAGGGTAGCAAATACTTTGATACCCACATCCTCTCCAATCCATGTTCTAGTACAAGAAAATTATATCTTCAAAAGCTTTGACCCGTTTGAAAACAAAGGTATCACACATTTTTCATGTAATAGAAATTAACATTGTTTACACATTGCATATGGAAAAACAAGTAAATCACTTACCAAGGATTAATATAAAATGCCAAAAGATAATCAGTCCAAAGGCATGAGGGTAGCAGAGTTAGGAAAGCAAATACACTTCTACGCCTGTGAGCATTAATAAATAACATACATAAAGATGAAAAAGTGAGGAGAGTTAGTAAGACAAACAGAAATTAGGAGATCAGCAAATTCTATTTTAAAAATCAGCTAAACCCATAAAGGCTTCCTCTTACTTACTTCATAAGAATATTATTAGCATCCATAGAATTTTTACTCCTCAACCTGAGACCCTATGCAGGATTTTCAGCTATCCAACATAAAATTCTGTATGATCAAAATAAACGTGTTTTATGGTATTGATTCAGGCCTGTTATTCTAAATTAATGTTAATTGATAAACTGGCAGATTTTCAGAGAGTAAAATGTGCTTGAAAATTTCATCCACAGGTTTCTGGCCATTACATAGGTCGTGCTAAGTCTATTTTCTAACGTTTTTGAGATATTTCAGGACAGACATAGTTTGTTTTTACCATGTACAACTATGATAATCTCCCACGTTTTCTCCTGCAAGTGATCCTGTGGATATCAGAACATCTGTATCAGAGAGAAATTCAGATCATTCCAATATCTCTTAATACCCTCTATTGAGTCAGATTTCTGAAAACATCCATATAACATTTTGCAGAGTCCAATTTTTAAGTGCTTCAAATTCTCTCCTAGGTTTTCAGCAAAACATTATTTGAACTTCTTCTAATTGTGGTTTCTATGAATAACTATTCACAGCAGGTTTCATTGTGGCTAAATGAAATTTGAGTACAGAATCATTCTAAACTTCTGTATTAGCAACCTGTTTACCAGATTCTGTTATGCATAATCCAGGAAACCCACTCAGGACTGTTCTGCCTGTTGGTGGAGTGGGCTACAGGTACTTTGCAAACATGAAAAACCTGTGAAACTTAAACAAAAATTGCCCCAGTAGCAGGATTTTTTTGTCAAATACACCCTCAGCATGTTTTTCCCCATCAGAAAATCTGCTGTCCTAAAAGCAATACCACCCTTCTACAACTGTTCTAAAGAGGAACCACAAAGTGAAATTTCCTTTTTCAGTACTCTTGGCTCTTATGAAGTTGGTAGATACTGTGTTTTCCTGCATAAGCCGGTCACATCAAATGTAATCATCTCTAATCTTAATCTTCCAACCAGTGGTGGAAAACTTCTGCCCACACAGTGAAAACTCCAAGTTAGGCTTTAATGAGTTTTGATGCTGAAGAGAAAATGGGCAGTGCAGTTTCTGCAGGGCACCTTTCCCAGGCGTTGGTAGGGATTGTGTGCGTCAGCCAGAAGCGAGAGCCCTTTCTAGTTAATCATACGCCACAGTGGTTGCAGCATCAAGGCCTTAGGGCTTATCCGTTGCTAGGGTTTCTATGGGACTGGACTGAGGATGAAATTTGGTTTTCCATAAGCAGTTCTCTGGTGCCACAGAGAGGTTTTCATTAGGCTTAGAAGAGGGAAGTGATGATGTTGCCGGAATAGTCTTTCTTTTGGGAACTCCCAGTGAGGTTTTTACTTCCTCTTGCCTACAGAGGCAGAAGGAATTATTCAAGCCTCGGTGTTCTTTCATTGTCAAATCATCATGAGGAATTGCCACACTTTATCAAATCACAGGTTAATGTGCTTGCAGACCTACTTATATTGTTCACAGATTAGGAACTCCAACATCTAAAACAATTGATTTTATTCAACATATGAAAAATATATAATTGCCCACTAAATACAGTATTGTTTTCCTGGAATTATATAGTCTTTCCCTTACTGCTCAGCTGTACTGAACAATTTTATTTAATTAAAAAAAAAAAGAGATGCAGAGATTGCTCAAATCCTGAAAACTCTGCTGAGCTGGGCTTTCCTTAGGAATCAGTGGATATGCTCAGAGCTCCCTTACTAGATCCCTGGAATGACCCCAAGAAAAATGGGTTTCTTAATCCTTCTACCTGTCTTTAAGGCCATATTTTCCATTTGGCTGCCTGGATGGACAGTGAGTCTGGTCTTGACATTAGACAACAGAGGCACACAAAACAAGATATCTTTACTAACTCTCAGAGAAGTCAGGACCCAAAGATAAGGGCACACTGCTTTCAGTTATGAAAAATTTGTGGAGATATTAAGCAGGAATATTTTCCCCAATTTATATTTTTATAACATAATTTATGTATGTATACATATATACACATATATATATACACACACACATACATACACATATACTAAATCAAGCAACAAGAACCTTCACTTTCACATCCAAACCTATTAATTAATTCCCCTTCCCATAAAAAAGTCTTTTATGGTTTTAATAACATCTGTTGCTAGTTTAATCATTTGACTCAAGCTTGGATATTTAATTAACATGAGTGGTTGATCTTCTGCCTTCTTTGCCATTAATACAGTCCAAGCAAGAGAAGCTGAAAGAGAGATTAGTTTGCACTGCATACAGCTGGCTGCTATTAAAGCTAAACCAAGCAAGTGAAGCTTGTTTAATATCCAGTTAATTAGCAGCACAGTAAGGTATTGACAAGATTTGCTGGGCTTGTTAGTTCAGTTTTCATGCTTATTAGCAAAAGGCTTGTTGTGGTGCAGTGTCGATGCATTTAATCCCATCCTTGCTGGCAGGCTGTGTCCTATGAGACCATAGATCCCTGGGCTCCAACTCCTCTTTCCAGCTTCTTGGCTGTCAACAAAGCTGACCATGGGTGTAAAACCAAGGAGCATATTTTCTTCTTCCTACATACTGGAATGGGGCTGACAGTATGCTTTTAAATGTCTGTGTTTGGACTCGCCTTGAAAGATAAGAGGTTTTTGCAGAAATTGCTAATAACAAAAGAGTAAACCTTGCGTCAGTCATTAACACCCATTTGATTATCAAAATAGGAATGGAAATGACTACACCGGTGCCAGTCAGGTACCTCTCAGAGCCCTTTTGCTTCTATAAAAGCTAATCCTACAGACTTCCTTTGCTCAAATACTTCTTTTGGCTGATGGTGTCGGTGATGGTTTGGAGTCCATAGTCAGTGCCTGCAACTCTTGTAGGTGGTTTTCTAGACTAGCAAGAATATGTTTGGGTTTTTTTTTTTTTTCTCAAGTCTTGTCAACAGCACTGAACATCAAGTTACAGTAAATATTTGAGTTGGCTTGTCCTTGTCTTGCAATTCAAGGAAAAATTAATTAATGGCACTGCATGAAGACAGTTGCTAATTGGTCATCTACAGGCAAGCTTACACCTGGCTGTAAATATATCTCTATGGAAGTGCTAATGGATTTATAGATCAAGTTTCTACACTTGTGTTATTTTAGGAAATATGTCTGTAAGAGAAAGGAAGAAAAATATCCTCCCAAAACACATCTATGCAACTTGGTTGACATGTATATACATCATTCCCTACTAAAAATAGCAGGTGACAGAATACATAGTCTTGAGTCATCATTCAAGAAATAAAATACTAAAATAACAGGTAGAGCAGTTTTATCATAAAGAGGGACAGTGATGACATAAAAAATAAGCACTTAAAATTAAAGATCATGTTTACCAAAAAGCAGAGATGGGCAAAAACATAATTAAAAGCTTTGCTTCAAACACTCACCAATTATAGGGAAGCTTTCCATCTCTCTCTAAAGATGCAAAATTGACAAAGGTTCCAGCCCCGCACTCCCTGTTTCAGGAAGACCATTGGGTACAAAGTTACCATTTTTGGGTTCACAACGCTTGCAATGACATTGATTTAACAGAGAACTCTCAGAGTTGTGGAGAAGTGCTGAACACTCACATCTGTGACTAGGACTGAGATAATCTGTGGTAAATATAACCGAAATGCCTTAACATAGTTGTCCAAAACCCATAATTGTTCAACATTGCCTGAGATCAGGTTTGCTAATAATGCTGAAAAAGAGTGAAACAAGGCAGAAGTTGCTAATAAAGATCCCAGACAGACCTCATCTTCTGTCCAGATTTGGACTCTCTGTAGTCTAGTGCTGGCACCAGTTGCTGGCCTCAGTACACATGCTAAATATTTACCTTTCTATACTAAATATTCACTGTCCGAAGTCTAAAGAGAAGATGTATAATCGTCTCCATTTGACAGGATCATGGTAATTTCAAGTTCACAAAATAATTGTAAAAAAAACATGAATTTCCTGAATAAAATTCCAGTGAATTTATCACAAGTCCATTATTTTCAGCTACAACTGATAAATTGACTTGACTGGTTTTGAGTCCTTGATTTAAGCAAACAATTGCTTGCAGCTTCTTACTGGATTTACTTTTTAAATTTCTTTCTGGGGTTTTTATCTTCTGTTGCTAGAAGCAGTGATGAAGAAAAAAAGAAAAAGCTTTGGGCTGCCTGCACAGTAATTAAATAGGAAAGAGAATTAATTTAGCTGGGATTTTCACAGAGCCAGTTACATGTAAAAGGAACAAACTACACAATGTTCGCTGAAAGAGATAGCCTGCAAAATACGTGTGATGTGGTCATCTGTTGCATGGAATACATAGCCAAGACATGGCACATAAAATGCAGTGTCGGCTAGGCAGCCAAGTGCAAGATTCTTCACGTAAGTTTTTTTACATTAAATAATTTCCTTTCTTGACACAGGACAGTAAATTAATATAAAATATATTACATAGATATAAAAGGATGAAGACTCCAGGACACTTCCAAAACCAGGAGGTGAACCATGTATCGAGGGTTTGGAGAAACTTCCACAGTTCACTCAGGCCATAATATAACCCACATTAATGTGAACTGTTACAGGTAAGACCACGAGGAAAAGGAAATTGAATTTCAATATTCAGGTACAAATGATTGGTGCAGAAAGCTGAAGGAACCGCAAGTTCTATAAAAAAAGGTTTACTCCTACAAGGTAATTTTTCCCTTCATCTGTATGACTCAACAAATTGAGATCATTATGTTATAGGTGAACAGCAGGACCTGAGATCCCTTCTAGATTTGTGGGTCTCAGTGTATATTTGTCTGCATCCTGACTGCATAAAAAGACAAGATCTAGGTGAGCTCATATGCTCTTTCCCATGCTACAGTTCTCATAGGAAGGAAGCCTATATGAATGCAGAATTTGGACAACTAGAAGACCAGGATTTAGGGGCAGACTGGCAAATGCTCTAGAGAGAGACTCATGGGGCCCTGAGCACACCCTTCCCCATCCTAGGGGTTTGGCTGCCAGGGCTCAGGCCTTACATGGCCTCTGAAATGCAGCATCCTGGACCTGATGAACAAACCATTTTATCTGTTGATATGGAAAAATCTCCTGTTCCAAACCATATGAAAGATTTACAAAGCATCTTGATATCCTGCTCATGCCCAGTTGCCTCAGATCCTAATTATTATCCTTTAGGTTCCAGACACAATGCTTTTGTAATAAGTGATTACACTTCTTATAGACCCAGTCTTGCAAAGCTCAAAATGAGACAAAGGTTGAGGTTTGTAACTCATGTCAAGAATGAAAGTAGATAGAGGGAGAAGACATGTTACTCCTGAACAGCAGCAAGACAACTATTTTGAAGGCATTCTGTTCACAAGCATCTTGAGTAGCACCCATGCACATAAGCAGCCTCAATTACAACTATTGTCATGATGTGTTTGTTGTTGTCTGAAATTTTTGGAACTAGCATAAATCTGGACTTACCTGGCCATTTGTAGATGTTTTCTCCTGAGTACCACAAGAGTCACCAGCAGCAGTCCAATCAGAAGGATACTTAGGATGGCTAACACAGAGATTACCACTACGTTGGGATTCATCTCAGTGACTGTACATACAAACAAGGACTCTTGGTTATTCAAATTCAGAAGAGCTGACACTTTTGGGGTATTTTTTCCCTGAATGTTGATAGTGTTATTTTTCTGAACTGATCTCATTCAGCCTGGAGTGTTACAGAGAGAAAAATCTACCACTAGAGATAAAGGGAGGTTTTGACTAGTTATTGCTCTTACAAAATTTCTGTGGGGAAATTACTTCACTCTGGCATTTTGTTAAACTTTGGAATGTTCTGATTTTTTTTTTCCCTTTTAACTGACATTCATAACACAAGAGAAAAAGGTGAAGGAAATATAAAACGCAGATATTCATCATCATCTATGTCTCCAAAGCACATTTCAGCTCTGAAATTGTTCTTCAACAATAATCATTACCTTTTCTGACCCAAAAGCAAAATAACCGGGTGAGGCTTTGTAACATACTGGGTTAAAATTGATTGAATTACTTTGGCAAATAAATTTTAACAAAAAGTTCTGTTTCAAATAAGAGCTGGAATCAACTCTCAGTAACAAAACCTTGATTTATTTTTGTTCCATATTACATGCTTATCAACTGTACTACTATGAGACCAGATACTCTGTTCTGCTCATTATATAAGAAACCCTCTCTACTTTACTTGCTCAGAATAACTTTACATCCACAGTTGTCTAGAGAAGCATTTTTTAGATTAAAAATCATGGAGATGTTTAAGCTAAGTATCAGACACTGAACTCCAGCATGGAGTGGTGTATGATGTATAGGACCAGTAACTAAAGCTACACAACACCCTAACTAAGCAGAGATGACACTGACCATTCTGAAGGGGGGATTTTAAATAAAAGACCAGTGCTGTGGGCAGTTCAACACTGATATTCTTTCTTAAGAGTCAATACAGAGCCAGGCTGCACGACATGCCTGGGGAGCCTCCATCAGGAGCTATCCCTTCGGGGTGTCACTGCTCAAGATCCTGCAGTGGCCCCTCTCCTTCTCTCTCACCTTACCTCCACTTCTTCACTGAAGGCAGAAAGCGATTTTTTTGCTGTAGCAGCTTATTAATGTGATTTTCCTCTTGTTTGAGCTTAGCTGAGAAGACCTTTTTCTCCATAAATGTCATCAATGATGTTCAGCCTTCACACCACAAACTAGGTCTCTGATTTCTAAAACCCATTAGAGAACTGAGCTTCTAGTTCATATATTTCCAAGTCAAACCCCCAGTGGGGATTTTTCTAAGAACTTTTTAAAGCTGCTTCCCCATCCCATCCACATCTGGCAGCCTTTCCATGATACAAACAACCCCTGGAGCCAGCATTACCAAAAGCAACTTTAGAAAGCAAGGAAAAACAGATGTTGTAGCTGAAGAAGGAAGAAGAAAGCAGGGAAGTGCTGCTTACCCATGGTGGAAACCGCAATGAAAGTGGGGATGCTGGGGCTATTGTGGCTGAAGGTGGTCACGCTGCAGTTGTAGGAAGTGGCAGGGGTTAGGCTGGAAATGGTCACTACGTGTGAGGAGACAGTGACAGGTTCCTGCAGACATGGGGAAAAATACACAGAAGTTTGTCTTTCCTGTAAATGCAAGAGCACAAATCAGTGCTCCCTTATCCACCGATATATTTGACCAGGTAAGTCAGATCTGGTGAAAGAAACCAGCACTTTGAAACCCAGGGAAGGTAACCCTTGAAAATAGGCAGATAGCCTGGCAGTCTGGCAGAAGAGGGGAGAGGAACAGGGGTGAAAGCAGCAGGAACAGCCCAGAGCACCCGAGGGAGCCCCAGGGCCCCTTGGGGAGGGCAAAAGGTGCCTTTTAGGGGGTTGGTCAGGCACATGCCTGTGACCCCCAGGACATCCCCAGAGGTGGGCAGAGCTCATGAGCTCTGGTTACTAAGCCATACAGGTAGGAGGAAAATAAAGTTATTTTTATTCAAAGTGTGGCCAAGGTAGTCACAATCTCTGCACCCTTGTATGAATCTCTGCCTCTGAGGCAGTTCCTCTGGACATGAAGAGCTATCAGCCTTTCACATGGCCAAGGTGAAAAACAAAGCTAGAGCAAAGCCTTTGGGTAATAACCATGATCAGGTATCCCACACCTCAGTTTTTCTAGGTAGTAGAAACTCTTTACATAATATCTTTATACAATGTTTTAATTACTGTGTCCCTGGTAAACAATTTTGTGTTTCATAAATGCTGATACAGCAAAAGAAAACAAATACAACATATTCATTGACTTAAAGATATAGCTCCTCCAGGTCCTCAGAAGCTTTTCTGTATTCTTCAGCAGGGCCAAGGGTGGGTCACAGATGCGAAAACAGGGACACTTGAGCCAGTGATTTAGAAATGGAACAAGTAGAAGTTTGATAAATGAACTCACTCCAGATGGGGAATGCAAGATGCTGTAACAAGTCCCGAGCACTGGATTTTTGCAGTGGCCTGCTGTCATTCATGGGCTCCTTCTAGACTAGCAAGGGTTCCTGTTGCAGTGCAATTCTGAGGTACGTTACACAAATGAAATCACATGTACGTGAGTGTAAGGGAGGGGACTTTTATTCCCTGAGCTGAAAGGAGGGGCCACAGTTTGGCAATTGAACTTGGTTGCATGTTTTCCATCTTCTCCTCTGGAAAATTTAAATTAGTCAAGCAAAACACAAGATGTTCAAACCTGGAAAGGTGTTGCTTTTCATTTTGCTGATTTAAAAATGGAGGAAAGGGACAAAAACGTCCATGTAATTAGCATGGAAAATCACAAGTAAATAATTTTCTCCAGTCAATGGGAAAGCACCCTTTTTACAGTTCAAAAAGGAGCCCTTTTTTTATAAAGACAGAAAAAGGAGTGACGAATCTAACGAGAGGTGAGCTGACAATCTCTGTGCATTTCCTAGTGCCAGATGTTCATGTCAACAAACGAGACACCCACTGAAGCTCCTGCCAAATGGACCAGTCTTTTCCTGATGTTCTTAACACAGATCTGCTCTGCATTAAAGCTGCAAATCCTGTAGCACTTTCCTTGTCTGGTCACACAATTATTTTGAATCTCTGCTAAGGGGATAATGAGTTCACGATCTTTAGCTACTCACTGTGAAAAAGCAGGAATCTAGATGTGGAATCCAAACTATCCAAAAGATTAAAATGCATTTAAACATTTCTTTTTTTTCCTTTAGTCAGTGACTTTCTTAATTTAAAAAGAATATTAAATAATTCAGACTGGTCTTCCATAGAATTAAAGAGCGTATATGTCTCTTTTGGGATAATCAGTGGTCTGAGTGGGTTATTTTTTACTTTTTTTCTGAATGATTCCCCATTACGTGTCACAGTCCACATGAGAGAATGATATCTCATGGCATGTAATCACAGTGATTCACTATACCATCAGCTAAACCACAAAGTAAGCCTCATATATTGCACAGCATTGAATGTAAAGGAATTAAAACTACTACTGCTCTGTTCTTAACTGAACAACGTTACCAATCTAAACACTCAGATATTCAGGTGGCCTCTGAACACAGGTACCTAACTGGACAGAGAGAAAAGGAGGTTCACTTCTGAGGCTGAGAAGGCTGGTCTCAAAGGAAATACCTTAAGAGAAAAAATGCATGAGCAGCAGCCACATTTGCAGCATAAAGGTACTCTCTGAATAGCAGTGAAGGTCCTACTGAACTTCAGTTAACAGTTCTCAAAACCAGGAATAAAGTAAGCCAGAAATAATTAATTGCTGCATAAAAGATCTCATGGTATCTAAATATGTCTATTTTTCCCATTCCTTATCAAGCTACTTGACTATTTTCCCCTTCCTGTCCATTAACATTCCCTTAGTTTTGTGGCCTTTTAGGTTTTTCATGGTATATTGGAGCGATTTTCATGACTAGCCAAAGACTGACACCCTGTTGGATGCACATAGCTTCTGTCCAATTAGTTATAATCTCATCAATAAGACAGAAACCAATTTTTCGTATTGCAAAATAATGAAATATTTTAGTATATGAAATGCTTTAGTAGTTTAGCTTTTAAAGGTTTAATTCTGAACCACCTTACCACATTTGTTTTCATGATCTAACCTGTGTACTGAGCATAAAATGTCATGGCTTTACACACAACTGCTAAGCAGCAGACAACAAATCGGAAAGATGCAAGACCCAGTCTCAGTTTCAGAGATGAAGAGCAGAAATCAAAGAAGAGATGCTTACGTACCTGGACTTTTGTTTCCTGACCAGATCCAGCCTGCTGGCAGTAGACTTCAAAGAAATCAGCCACTCCTTCTTCCACCCACAGCAGAGTCACAGAGGTCTGTGTCTTGTTGACAGCGAACAGTGATTTTGGAGGGGCTGGTTCTGGTTAAGAGAAAATCTCCTTTTATTAATCTTACCTTTAAGTTTCCAGACAACTGAGAAGAGGAAGCCTCAAACAAAAATGAAAGCAATGCCTGATGTTCTTCTACCTTTCATTTCCTTCAGATAAAATGTAAAGCCCGGCCTCTCAGGATGATAAACTGCCACTGTAAAATGGGAAGATGATGAAGTGTCTTGGTTTTTCTTCTCTATTTAAACTGTTCTCTATTTGGACAGCTGGATAATTACTTCACTTCCCTTTTCAGCAGAGCCCTTGTTTGAGGATGATCAGCATATTCTATTAATAGAACGATGTCAACAGAAGCTCTTTAGGGAGAAGATAGCTGTCCACCTGTTAGCAACACTTTTGGCCCGAGAAAGCTTTGCTTCGCAAGGCCTGCCCCAGAAGATGATAAAGAAGCAGCTTCCCACAGGCGAAGGCCATCTAGGTTCATTTAATTGTAGCAGAGGAAATATTTAGTCAATTAGCAGTTTAAAAAAAATCTTGTCGTCTGTTTTTTTTTTTTTTTCTAGGCTAACATGTAAGGGCCATTGGGTCTGCACTCATTTTGGTTAGCTGCAGGAGTCTTCTCTCCTCGCTGAATGCAAAGATCCAGATTTCAGGGGTCTTCAATTTATTGCTTCGATTTTCATTGCTGCTGTTGGATGAACTGGCAATGGGCAAACATATAGAAGGGACTGAGGTTCCTACATGGAGAGGAGGTGACAACCCTGTGATAGGAGGACTGTTAGGGGTCTCCTGGGAGAGATGGCATCAGAGATACTGTGAAACACGGATGAGGGTCAGCACCCAGCGCCCCCAGCCCCGCATGGGGTGGCCTTGGCTGTCCCCTCCAGGGCCACCTCCCTGCCCGTGGACCCCCGTGGTTGGGTGGGCAGTGGCCCGCGGGGAGGCTACGCTGACCACCGGTGGAGGCCACCCCTCACTGCAACCCCTCCTGAACAAACCTGGAGCATGGAAAACACAGAACAGGAGGGGAAACCTTGAGTAGTAGGGAGAGGAGCAAACAGCTTAGGTATGCTGTTAAGACAAGATGTACTTTTTTTCCCAAGATTATTTAAAGACCAAGGCTTGATCCTGATTTTGATCCTGAAGACTTCACACAACAGGTACTGGCAATCCCTAGCTTTCAATGCCTCAGGCATCCCGGGATCCTTTGGTTTGCCTTCAGAAAGTGCAAAGTTTGGGTTGTACATTTCCAAGCTGTTCTCCAGAGTTTTCACATTTCCTAATCTCTGGATGTTTAATGAAAGTTGTCATTCTCAAAGAATGACCTGATTCCAGGATCCTGACACACTATATGCAATGTACTACATACAACAACATTTTTCCCTTATTTTATGTCTTCACAAATAATTTGATATTCTCATTCTGTGAGATGCTGTCACAGGAGCCTGGATGTGATGTGTAAGATTCACCACAAAAAACTTGGCACAAAGGACCTGCTCAAGTGGTTATAGACATTTTGGAGACATATCTGATCCTCAGACAATCAGATCAGTGTTCTATGGTTGGAGGCTGCCAAGATTATATTGGCATTAGGGAGAGCTTTGAGGAGAGCAGGGTAGGGACTGAAGCACATTCACGTGGCTTCTTCTGTGTCACGGGGAATGCAGTGTACGTGTTGTCCCAGAACTACATAGGAAAGCGTCCCTCTCCCTTAATTACACCCATATATCTGCTCTTGGATTCAGAAACACATTCCATCCCTCACTCCAGGTAAAAAAATGGCCTCAATTAAAACATGAGTTTTGCATTTGGGCATCACCCCAAGCAAATCCTCCTTTTGCCTCCAGCAAATGGCTTGATTTTTCTGCAAGTGGAAAGTTGCCAGGATGAAGCAAACATCATGGAGGGAAGAACATTTGGCAGG